CAGGAATGTGTGTAAGCCTCTAAAAGATAAGCCTCCAACAGGTGAGGCAGTTGTTTCTGTTTTGGTACTCTCTACCTTAAGGTTGTTGACACCCTACAGACGTTAACCCCAAATTGTAGTCAGCAGGTTTTTTTCTATATTTTCTCAGATAAGTCCAGAAAACTGTTAAAATCTTTAACAGTGCAGGCTGATATCTGAAGATTTGAATGTATTTGATCTCTTCTGCTGATGATGACGACAGTAGTGCGTGGGATAGAAAGGTTAACGGCTTCAGACGGGTGAACAATTATAAATTGTCTCACGTCCATGTGCCGTAGCATATGCGAAGTGTAATTGCCCTTGTTCTTTTAAATGTATTTTGTTGTTAAGGCTTGGGGAGGGTGGGGAGCAGTAAGAGTTAAGAGGAGATGCATTGTTACTTGTTTATCTAGTGCTGGATCTAGAGAGAGATTGGAGAGAAAGCAATGCTAAGGGGTATTGCTATATTCTGGGAAGAGGCCCTCAGTGCACTTGATTCTCAAACAGCTGCAAAGAGTAGTGCCTCCTGTTGCTTCTGCACCCTAGGAGTAGGCAATTTTTTTTGCAGTATACTTTTGTTTTTCATAGGACCCATCACCTGCAGGAGGAAGTTATTTTGTGGGGAAGGAGATGATATTCAAGGGAAAGAAAATGAGCCACAAATTTGACATAAATTTCATTATTTGTTTCTAATGCATTATCCCCTCCCTAGCAACAGGAAGACAGACTGAAGTAGTCCTATTAAAGGCAGAGCTGCTTTGCAGTTAGTGTCACTTCAAGTGAATAATGTAAAAATGAACCATTGCTAGTGGGAGTATTACTTTGTAGATCAGTGAGTTTTTTGTTTGGTGGTGGTGGATGTTTTTTTCCCCTCCTTGCTTGTAGCAGTTTTATTGAACCCTTCTCTGTGATGCTGTTTGGTGTCACCTGTAGTAGAGAGATGGAAAGATGTGCCATAAACTTTCCAGGCCTTTGTATATCATGCAATTTCTGATAGTTCCTACTGTGCCAGATGTTCTCAAAACATGTATTATTGTCATTACAGTATGTGCTAACAGCTGTTTTTCTTATTCAGGCAGCATTGTGCGCTGTTCATGTCATTAGAAAGGTGCCTGAACTCATGGAGATGTTCCTGCCAGCCACCAAAAACTTACTGAATGAGAAGAACCATGGTAATATCCAAGACTCTACTTAGCAAGGCCATGCCATTCTTTACAGGATGATGCACTTGCTACATAAGCCTTTTGTTTGGAAGGAACTTTTGAGGTGTATTTGTATGATTTATTTCTTCCCATTTCTATGCAGTGAAAGCAAATGTCATTCACAAGGAAGGGATGTGTATGACTTCTCTAGTCAGCAGGACTTTTGCATGGCATAGGTGACAAAAGGAACTCTTAAACTGTTTTTTGATGCACTTCAGAGGGGGTGAAGTGGGAAAGTTTGTGATTTTTATCCAATAAACTGCCTAAAGGGACTCTAAAGTGCACTTTTTAGGGTTTGGGTTTTTTCGTATCTTCTGTTAGGATAGCAGTAAGGATTTTCTGATACCATTTCAGCAGACACTTCCAGGGCTGAGATAACTAAATCATTGTCAAGAAAGGGTCTTTCTTCAGTCTGCTTGTCATCAGAGCTACATCATAAAACAGATTCTTGCTTTAATGGTCCTTTGCCAGATTATTGTGTTTTAATGCATTTTCTTACACAAGTGCTTCTAGATTATTTAAAGAGAAATACTAATATTAACAGCCTGACTAATTTGCATCAAGCCCAGTGCTCACTTCCCTAAGTCTTAGTCCTCTGGCACATCTGCAGTGAGCATGTGCCTTAAGAAGATAGGTGAGTGTGCTAGAAGTTCTACAAGTAGATGTTTGCAGTGCTGAAAACCTGTTACAGGGAGAGGTTCTGTCTCGAGACAGGGTAGTTGTAAGTGCAGCAGTGCTAACAGGCCACAATGGCTTCCTGAGAAGCTATTGTTTCCATCATTATTTTTGTTTGCTGCATGTGTTGTAAACCTTTGAGGTACAGGACAGGTTGGGTGTGCAATGCGGCTTGTGTGTGTGCAGTTAGTTTAGCTTGATTTAAAAATGTAGTGATCAGAACGTTGAGACTAGGCACTGTTTCAAACAGGCAATGGTCTGTAAGACTCTTATGTCAGTAAGCAATGCTTACATGATCCAACTTGGTAGTGCGAGGTCCTCTGTCCTTGTCTTAGGCAACCCTGAAAAGCTGAGAGCTGTTCTGTTCCCTCTTCAAAGATGGGAATGCTCATCTTCAAGCCTTGGCCAAGCAGAGAATTGAGTCTAGGTTCACCTGAATTCAAGAACTGGATCATCCTTTCTGCTTTCCTCATCCTTAAAATTAGTATCTCCTTTCCAGCAGTCTTAGCCGTGGGCTTTGTCTTGAGCTTTCTCTGAAGGAGACTATATATGAAACCCTTTTAGCAGCCTCTCGGGTGATGTCAGTGATAAGTAAGCAGTGTCAGTGTTAAGAACGCTGTAGACACAAGCTTTATAGAGAAATGTTTATGTACTTCAAAGCAGATTTTGGGTAGAACCTGCAATAGATCAGAAAACTGCATAACTCGTGGAATATAAATGTCATCTTCTCTGTAGAAAACATTGCTTGTTAAGCAGGCTTTTAGTCTCTTTCTGAGCCAGGAACTCTCCAGTACAGACTTATCAGCTATAGAAAATGGCTAATTGAAAAAGCATCTGAGCAGCATTGCTGTGTTACAGCTGAATGCAAATGTAAAATAATGCTTGTTGTTGAAGTCTCATGCTTTGTGAGGTTGTATCTCACTAACAAGTTATCTAGCATTGACATCTAGTTAAATGGTTTGTAACTGACATGCCTTTTCCAACTATTTTCAGAGACATTTTGACAGGGTTTCCTTAAGACAGGACACACAGCAGCTGGCTCTCAGTGCGCAGACAGTGACTTGACTATAGTCTGACTAGTCTGCTATAGTCTTTCTCTAGACAGAGTTCTGAGGAATACCCAATCCAGGTCACGTAAGGTTGGCTAGGGTACCCAAATCAGAAGAGAAAATCAGGAAGCGTGAGGAACCCAACAGCTACAATGCAGTTAACACATACTGTCATTCTAGAGTATTATGTCCATGTAGAATCATAGAATGGCTTGGGTTGGAAGGGACCTTAAAGATTGTCTAGTCCAACTATTTGTTACCATCTGACTGTGTATTTAGTATGCAAGTTTCTGCAGACAAAGTCCTATTTCTGTCCTCCTTTGGCCTTTAATTGCAGCTTTAGGACATGAGCACCTTGCTGTCTGCTTTCCCTTGGGCATAGATGCAAGTGCAAATATATTTTTGGGTAGAGATGTTGGATTCAAGAATAATTTTTTTAATAATTTCCGGTTGTTTCCTTATGATCTTTATCACATGTCTAGAGCCAATGAAATTATGCTAAATGTAGATCATTTTTTCTTCCCCCCCTCTTTAGGTGTTCTTCACACATCAGTTGTCCTCCTAACAGAGATGTGTGAGAGAAGCCCAGACATGCTTGCACACTTTAGAAAGGTAAGTGTGAAGTGATAATATTGCAGAGTTGGTATTCATGGTTTTGTCTGTGGTGGGTTGGAGATTTTTTGATTTTTGTTTTGGTTTGGAGTTGTTTGTGTTTTTTGTTTGGTGGGTTTTTTTGTTTGGTTGGTTTTTTTTTTACTGATGCGTGCTCTTAGTCTCCTTAGTGAAACCAGTGTGCATGTCTTTTATTAAGATCCTTAAAACTGTTTGGGTGAAAAATTTAATAATATATCTGCTTGTTATTGATTAAAAAAAAATTGTTAAATTTGGAGATTTTGTGTGTATCTAGCCCTAATCTCCTTCAATAAGTAGGTAAGTTACAAAACATCAGCCTTAAGACTATGCAGTATGACACTCATCCTAAAGTTAGATTTGAAGTGTCCTCTTGTTCCTTTAGGGTTTTTTCACTCTTTGTAGATAATTGCATAGTGACATTGTAATCACGAATGCATTAAACATAAAGAGGCAAAGAGGAAAAACTGAGCCTTATACCAGCACCTGAATGCTTTAACCACAGCCACACAATTTTATAAACTCAGGTCAAAAATACCAATGGAACTTCTAGTTCTCTAGATACTTCACCTCTGGTGCATGTTATGTTACATCATTTTCTGTTTTAACAAGGGTCTGAGAGTCAGAGTCACTCTTCCTCCTCTGATAGGAATGTTTGCTTCTCCCTCTGCATGCGCCTCCTCCAAGCACAAACTTCCTTATGCTGTTTGTTATAACTTGCTGTGCAGTATTATTGCCATATGAAAGACTGCCGATAGGATGGCATCCATTGATTATGTCATTCTGACTTTTGGGTCAAAGAAGGAGAAATTGAACAAAGCTAGTAGACCTGAACTGGCAGTTTGCTCCTCTGAAAGCCTTGAAGGTGCTTATTTATTTGCATACCCAGTTTACTGTTCTTCCTTGGCTTGTCTGTATCATTAGGGATTTCAAACAGAACGTCCTTCGATGCATCCTAGCCTTTTGGCATGCATCTTCCCTTGCCCTGATTGTGTGTGGCAAAGTGGGAGTGAAAGTGGGACTAGGGTCATCTTTAAGGTAGCCATCTCTGCTACGAATTGCTGCGTTAAGATTATAGTTGTGGGAAAAAGAGAAGAGCTGAGTCTGCAAAATTTTAAGTACTAGGTACATTGTTTTCTAGCTATCTCTTGTGGTTGTTTATGCTGTGAATGGAATAATGTTGATCTGTCCCTAATACCTGCTTCATCTGTTTTGTCCCTTTTGTCTGTTTGGAATCCTGCTGTGTATTAGAATGAAAAGGTAAGAGTTAATTCTTCTAGATGGTGCATGCTTGCATTGAATCTGTAGATGTTCGTGTTCTGTGAGGCAGTGCCTCTTAATGCCACATTTGTGATTGATGCCACATGCTTAGATCGATTGTACTTGTGTAATGCTTTTTGTGTGCTGGTCTGGTCTTGTCACTATGCCTCTATACCCCTGGCAGCCCTGAACCTCCGTTGTGGCCTGCTCCAAACATGAGCCTGCTTTGGTCAAGCTCGCTCTCATTTGAGGAATATCTTAGGGACTTTTTTTTGTGCCTATGCAAACTGTAGCCCTGGACTTTATTGTCACAAACTGGGCTTTGTGTTTTTCCTGAATCATCAGGCAGCTTTGGGTGATTCTCAGAAGGGAGCCAGAGAGACAGTTACTTATCCACTGGTAAGTGGGCTGACTGTGCTGCAGAGGGCTACTGAGTACAGCTGCATTGCTGATATTTTCATGGGTGTAATTTGACTACAGAAGATTGCCAGGGTGGCCCTCAACTGATCTCCATGGCTGTAATGTTTCCCTTTGTCCTGTCCTCAGTCCTGATAACTCTGGCATGTTAGAAGGCAAAAAAAATGTTAATCAGAGTTCCAGGAATGCTCCAGCAGGTTACTCCACTTGTCTGTTACTCTGACTTGAGGGAAGATGTTGCAGCACCCTTTGGTTTCCTCTTTAAGGCAGATAATAGGAAATTGATGGTTCCTTTTGTTGTTGTGTTTTAAGAAATGCATGTTTTCAGAGGAGTATGTAATTCCTGAAGAGCGAAGGTAGAAATAAAAAGGGATGATGGGGAAACTCAGCTGATTTTTTTCTTGCAGTGTACCACAAGTGTACAGGACTTTAGTCCAGAAAACATTGCCTGTTTAGTATGTCCACATGCAGCTGTTGTGCTCTGTAAGTCACACTGTGTTTTTGGCACATTCTGCTACTCTGTCCTGAATCTGAAGCACCATCAGATGCTGATGTTGTCAGAACAACATCAAATAACTTTAATATAAGCGATCTCTGATGTGGTAAAAACTTAGTGTGAATGCAATCCCTGACACATAGTAGGCAAACGTGAAAGCAGGAGCAGCCCATCTCAAGGATGGGAAAATTCATTAAGTTTTAAGGTTGAATCACTGGAGAGGGTATTTTAGAGAACATCTTGATAAACTAATTGTCATGGATGGAGTTGAGAGAAAGAATGATGCTGTCCTGGTGCTAGCCTTGTTTCAGGAATGAAAAATCCACTTAGTGCAGCCACCATAACACCTCTGTCTAGTTTGTCACCTCATCTCCAGGCAGTATCTGGATTATTTCAATAATACCAGCACTGAGAGAGTTAGAAGAAACTTTCTGTGGAAGGAATAAAGCTTAATCTCTACATCATCCACCAGGAGTGGTTTTTCTCTTGCAGTTCAATGAAAATTAGTCCAGCTTCTGTCTTTCAACCTTAAGATTTTTCACAGGATGTGTTGGAAGTGAGCTTCCATTTCATCCCTGAGACTACTTTGTTACTTATAGCTGCTCTGAAGGTTTTTGGAGATAAATAGTAAGTTTGTTAGAGCTTGTCTGCTTTAATGATTGGCTTATTTGCCATGTTCTGCCCTAAACTGGTTACTTGGTTGGCGCTCTATTACGGTTCCTGTGACAGATGAAGCCCATCACTAGAGATCCCTAAGATGGAGGGAGTTGAACTAGACTTTTGCTAATAGGTAGCATTTCTTTAAAGCTGCATACAAGTCTTGAAAGATAACTGATTCCTAAGGGTAGATGTCTACTAAGAGACCAGTGCCATCAACACCTGAGGAATCTGAACTGCTTCTGAAGTTTTTTAGCCTGCACAGTTGGAAAGAAACTTTAGAAAATTAACAGTGTAAGTCGATATGGTTTTGTGCTCTTAAGTCTGGCATAGTAGCAGTATTTCTATGAGTTTCTCTGCTATTATGCAGAACCCAGTGAAGTGAAGAATTTGGTCAGTTTAGTGTTACTGCTCTTGCCAAGAAGTCTAGGATGAAGAGGAGGAGAACAGAGCCTGGAGCTACTTGCAGGGACGAAGTAGTCCTAACAAAGGAGTGCTGGGGGAAGGCTGGAGGGAAATCCATTCCCTATTTGGAAACTCTTGGAAAAGAAGCAGACCACAAAGCTTTTATTTCTGGAAGCTAAGCTGGATGGAGTGTCAAACGTGAAGGAATTCTTAATAATTTAGTTTGATCATAGCAGTACAGTACTTGAAAAGATCAAAACTCTTGGCTGTGCCTGATGCTTCCATGGAGATGGATGCTAAAATTGAGTCAGGAGCTAATGTGAAGCCCCCAAGTGAGGTCCCAGAATTATACCATTTTAATAGTCCAAGCACATCATCTTTTCATGAAGAGAGGAATTTAAGTTGGTATTTCCTTTCAGATCTCAACTGCCAGGCTTTGCTAGATTTAGTACTTTAAAGACACAATGTGGTGCTCAGGTCCCAGTGTAACTGTTTCTAGTTGTGCCCTAGCTAAGCCATGGGTATTCATGTAACATCAGCTCTAGGTGGGCAGGTTGAACTTTGTGGAAGAATCTGTAGACTGACTTGCTTTCAACTACGAGATTTGTTCTTGGACCTGTACCACAGAGCTGGCGGGGGGAAGGAACAACATCCTAATAGGACAACTCTCTCTTCACAGCTTGTTCCTCAATTAGTTCGTATTCTGAAGAACCTTATCATGTCTGGATATTCACCAGAGCATGATGTGTCTGGGATCAGTGACCCCTTTTTGCAGGTAAGAACTGATGCAAACAGTGATTGAGAGCCTTAATTCTAGTACTATGTTTTGAGACTTAAGTATGATGAGGTGGTTACCTCAGGGCAGCTATGTTTATTTTAAGATTTTCTATCTTTGTTAGAGCTGGCTGTGCAAATGCTCTTCATCTACCTTAGTGAAAGACACCTGCCTTAGTTTAAACAGCAGTCGTAGTGTCTTATTGTATTATGTGAAGCTGTGACAAAAGGGAGAAGCAGCAACATGTGTTGGTCTTGCAAGGCTGTGCCTAGTGAGTAGTGGGAGTACTCTGAACAGTTCTGGCTAGTGTGAGGAAAATGAGCACAGCATAAACCTGTTCTTGTTGGTAAAGATCTTATTAATTATAAGCATTCCGCTTAGGAATGGAAATCAGCTGATTTTGCTTCTTTGCCACTCCTCAGGATGTCTACTGGGCATTTCATGGTCCCCATGTAAAACACTACAATCCAGTAAGATTTTTCTTTGCTTTATTTTGTCAAACAGGTACGAATCCTGCGGTTACTAAGAATTTTAGGGCGAAATGATGATGATTCCAGTGAAGCAATGAATGATATACTTGCACAGGTGAGATCTGCAAGGTTGATGAGCAGCTAAACTTTGTCTTTTTGGTTTCTTAATCATTTGGATTCAGCAGCACTGGTGAGGATACAGCTGCTTGCTCTGCTGGGTTGAATTCTGCTGTAAAACACGTTCGTAGGCATGATGCTTGTTTGCCTAGAGATTGATTAGTTTCACTGCTTGTTCTGCAGAACTGCACAGAGGGGATCTGTTTTGGATGTGTTGGAGTCAATTATTTTGTTTCTTTTCTCCAGGTTGCCACTAATACAGAAACAAGTAAAAATGTGGGAAATGCCATTCTCTATGAAACTGTGCTGACTATTATGGACATAAAATCTGAGAGTGGACTGAGAGTAAGTTGGCTTTTCTGTGGCCTTTTTTTTTTTTCCTTCCTAGGCTTGTATTAGAGTAATTTGTGTAGAGGACATGAAGCAAAGTTGTTTTCGCCCAAACATAGCTCTGCAGTTGGCTCTAGGTAAGACTGTAGCCTCTTCAGAAAGTAGCATTCATGTTTCTTTTTTTTTTTTTAAATAACAAAAATAAAAAAGCAAAACTTCCTGTAAACTGTGTTCCCTTGAGTGCAGGAGAGAGCTTGTGCTGTGTTTGTCTTAGCTTTTCCTCTGCTTAGTAAGCTTCTCTAGAGTACTTTGTTACGCTTTTGGCCAAGGTCCGCAATGGTAGCTTTGACATGTTGCCTTTAAAGTCATCTTGAAACAATGAAGATGACCAGCAGTCTTTTTTGATCACTGACATTCCCTCACTCTTTCTGCAGGTGTTAGCCATTAACATCCTAGGCCGTTTCTTATTAAACAACGACAAAAATATTAGGTAAGTTGTGTGAAGCGTGTTTTGGCAACACCCAGTTTAAAATGTGTGAGCAGCAATTGCACAAAGGTTATGCTGAAGTAGAGCTTTCCAGGAGACTATATTCAGAAGTACTGTTGTCGGGGCTACTATGACTGTCCAGCTTTCTTCTTTCTTGGTGCATTTGTTTCCCTGTGAAAACCTTAACTGTGGCCTTGCCCTTCTTAGTTGATAGATCTAGGTGTATGATCTCATTCTTAACATGTGATTTCTTAATTTATTCTAATGTTTTTTTCCAACGTGATGTGATCTCCTGTCTTGTCCCAGCTGGTCTGTGGTGATATTCAAATCAGAGTTGGCATTGGAGATCTGACAAATGAGGCAAAGTCTGTGTTTTCTGATTGTATGCTGTTGTCAACAAGGAAGTTTGGTTGTGCTTTGGACAGTATGAATCTGGAAATGGAATTGCTGCAACTGCTGGAATTAAGTCCCATCTCTAGGCATTTTAATTGCAAATCATAGTATAGGTAGAAGATTCTAGCCTTGGGAATTGCAACTCACGCTAGTTTGAGTGTCTGATCTGTGGAGGTCTAATCTTTAATTGCCATGTCTTTTCAAAATCTTCATGAAGACTGGACAACTGACATGAGTCCAGGAATTGGAATAGGTGCTTGTCCGGGCAGCAGAACTTTGTTAGGCATGTTACAGTTCAGTATGGTAACTCACCTTTGGAGATAGGCCAGGCAGTCCCCTGGAAGATTTAGATTCCTTACTGAGTACAAGGGAACCCTGTTCTGTTGCCAAATTAGATTAAGTTTTGGGGAATGAGTATCTGCATAGAAATTAAATGCCTACTGTCAACTATTTATTACCATATTTCCTTATCCCAGATATGTAGCTTTGACGTCATTGTTGAAAACTGTGCAGACAGATCATAATGCAGTACAGCGGCATAGAAGCACGATTGTGGACTGCCTGAAGGATCTGGATGTCTCCATTAAAAGGTAATTGAAATATCAGTGAAATAGACTCTCAAGGTTGACAGCCTATGGAAAGTGAGCCAGGCAGAGGGAAAAAAAACAGTATTCTTGGGGAACTGTAAGTGAGACTAGAATTAATACGTTGTATGGTTCATACTTCAAAGACGATAATGAAGATGTGCAGCCATCTTCTTTGGGAAGCTGCTTTTACATTTTATGGGTCTTGGATTGGAAAAAAATATTGTTCTGTTTGCTTGCATTTTTCCAAAATGGAATCTCAATGGAGATCAGTTTGTGTGCTCACAAGAAGATGGAAAGCCTCCATAGATTATGCTCGTTATCAAAGCTACTCTGACATGCTCCATGTTGCTTTTCTTTACCAGACAAACAGGCAGTGCCATGTTGTCTTGAAGCAATGTTAAGCCATCCAAATAATGTATTCTAGTTTAAATTTGATTAGGCAGTAGTAGAATTCAGGCTTGATTGTTCAAATAATTTGCTCACAAACCACATCCTGTTATGCATTGTTGGTGTTCATTTGTCATTTAAATACTGGTATGTTATTTCTTCTCACTACTTCAGTTTGTTCCTTTTACTCATGATAGTAACTTTGTCCACTCATAGGTATTCTTGAAGTGTTTGACTCGCTTTTGCCCAACCTATATAGAATATTGCTCTTAATCTTCTAAATTTAGTCTTTTAGCCTGTTGGTTGGTTACTTTTTTTTTTCTGAACTCTATTCCTCATTGTTATTTTTTTCTATAACTGGTCGTCTAAGCTCAATGCAGCATATGACACATCAGCAATGGGGACAGTTGCATCCGTGTTGCATCTTGTGGAATCTGTCTGCTGCAGACCAAAATTTCATTGAGCTCTTGTCACATCATCGATATGCTTTCAAAATTGTTCAACCTCCTTTTTTTTTTTCCCCTTCATCTTGTCAAACTGATTGGATATGCCATAGATACTCATTCTGATAGGCATTCTTCAAATTCGTACCCCTCTTTAAATCAGATCTAGATTTTTAACAGACTACTCAATCTAATATGTACAGAATAAGAAAGAAATTGTATGTTATGTAATGGGTATCATGTACTTTATTTTTACAGTTGCAACCTTATCCCAAAACACAAATTTGTATCTTATATGCTGAGCAAGTCAGGCTGCTGTTGCTGCTTGGTGCGGGAGCCAGCATGAGGCTTAGGCTATGGAATAGCAAAGCCTCATCTAGGTTTTGGATAGAAGGCAACAAAAGCATTTTATTGGTGCCTGATAGGAAAACATAAGTATGCTATAAATGACAGAGCTTCATGTCTGAGTGCTGTTGGAGGATGAAGCCTCTGAGTGATCCATCAGCAGAGCATGATGTTGCCATGCTGACACTCGTGCTTCTGACAATGCACTGTCTTCATTGAAGCAATACGTTGTCTGGATGTCAGAGTCCCCAGGTGGCAAGTTTCGAGGGCTGGGACTGGAGGAAAAGATGCGATAGCTAGTTTTGGTTAACTGAAGCATGGCCTGTTCTCATCATCTTTTGACCATTGCAGTGCATCTTTGGTCTGTGTAGTATAATTCATAATGGCTTTGCCATTTAATTCAAGTCTTTTTGTCTCTGCTTAATATGATCAGACTAAGTGATTAGGAACTTCATGACAGAAATTAGCTGTATAATGATTGAAGGTAAGCAGTATGAGTTGAGATAAATGCCTGCCTTAAGATTGCAGAATACCTCTGTGCACCTGCAGTGTTGATATATCTGCTATAATGTGACTGAAAAGCTAAACATCAACATGGAAAACTTGTAACCCGGTAGTAAGTAGATGAGGCGTAATAACTTGGGAACTAATTGGAGAAATGAAAACAATTCTAATAATTGTATAGGTCTTCAACCAGCCACAGATCTAGATGATAAAAGCTCACAATTATGTTATGTATTTCCACCCTAATTCTAAAAGCTTCTGTGTTTTCTAGGTCCCTGGGTAGTAGTTGGGTAAAAAGCAAAATAACACCTTTACAATTCACAATTCTGTAGAAATCCTTATTGCAGTAATAACTAGGGAGATGTTGAGAAGCAGTGCTGTCTAGATGTTTTAAGATTCTTGAGAACAAATATCTTGTGCCCCATGCCATTGGACTGGGTAATGTGCTTGGTCTAAGTTGTTGATGTTTCATGAACATTGGGAAAATAACTAAGGGATCAGAAAAAATAACATGTGTCCGTGTAGTGGTAGGTTGGCAAGCTTGACACTGGAGCAAGACAGAATCAGCGGGACTGCTCACGAGTTTGCTGTCAGCACATATATAAAAGGATGACAGCTTAACTCATGCATCTCAACATTATGATTTTAATGAAAATTGGTGGAGTTAAACACACATTGAAGCCTGATCTATTTGAAGAAAGTATATGTTACAAAATAGACTTTAGACCTATTGGCATAATTGTGGACATAATCTGTTACACAACAAACAGTACAGAATCACTGTGCACATGAAGTAGTTCAGCAGCTATTCAGATGATTTCAAAAGATAACTGAAATGGGGGAGAACGTTTCTGATGTGCTATGAGGATCCTTCTTGTCTTCTAGTAGGCTATCTCAGAGTCAGAGAATAAAGTTCCTGGTAGTATGAAGAGGACACAATTTGGAGATTTGGGTTCTGGATTCTACCAAATGCTCAATTTTAAAGAATAGTCAGGATTGTTTAGTGAGGCTGTTTTAATGCATTGCTTTAATGCATTTTAACATAACTAATTGCCAGCATTGTACAGAAATCAGCTTTGAAGACAGAGAGAATGGAGAATGGATTGAGAAACAGTGGAGGAGGAGGGACTTGGGGGTGTTGGTTGATGAGAAGCTCAATGTGAGCCAGCAGGATGTGCTTGCAGCCCAGAAAGCCAACTGTGTCCTGGGCTGCATCCAAAGAAGCATGGCCAGCAGATCAAGGCAGATGATTCTGCCCCTCTGCTCTCCTCTGCTGAGGCCCCACCTGCAGTGCTGTGTTCAACTGTAGGGCCCCCAATATAAGAAGGACATGGACCTGTTGGAGTGGGCCCAGAGGAGGGCCACAAAGATGATCCGAGGGCTGGAGCACCTCTGCTATGAAGACAGGTTGGGAGAGTTGAAGTTGTTCAGCCTGGAGAAGAGAAGGCTCTGGGAAGACCTTATAGCAGCCTTCTAGTACTTAAAGGGGGCCTACAAGAAAGCTGAAGAGGGACTTTGTACAAGGGTGTGTAGTGGTAAGACAAGGGGCAATGGCTTTAAACTGAAAGAGGGGAGATTTAGATTCTTCCCTCTGAGCATGGTGAGGCACTGGAACAGGTTGCCCAAAGAAGTTGGGGGTGCTTCATCCCTGGAAGTGTTCAAGGCCAGGTTGGATGAGACTTTGAGCAACCTGGTCTAGTGAAGGGTGTCCCTGCCCATGGCAGGGGGGTTGGAACTAGATAATCTTTGAGGTCCTTTCCAACCCAAACCGTTCTATGATTCTATGGTAGTAGTCTTCATTCAGAACATGTCAGAAGAATGGCAGAGCTGTGCTAGAATCAACTACAGAAGCTTCAAGTAGAAGAGCTAAGGACTAACCTCTGAGCTCTGGATGTATACAACGGAATAACAAAGTTCTCACAATAGTAATAAACATAAAATATTACACTAGTAATAAAAACTAGTTGTGGCCTCAACTTGAGGGCAGGGAGGAATGGATTCTGAAAAGAGCACAAGGGTAATTTTGGGTTCTACAAGTCTTATGTAGCCTATCTGACAGGATACAATAAAGCTTATCAATTAATGTTTTAAATCTCTACTGTATTTGAATCTCTAATATATGGAGATTGAAATGGGTCTCTTCTGGATCCCTGAAGCTGGAGAAAGCATGTTGTAGCATGGATTACTTACTGCAGTTGTATGTCAGAAATGCCCAGCATGCAATTACAGATACTTGGACAGTTGGACCTTAGCGCTAGTGGACTCTGGTTGCTGAAAGATATTTCTAGTCTTCAGGACATCTGGATAGGTGTTTCTAGAAAACTCCACACCCCCTTAGGTTTTTTTGGGGTGGGTATTTGTCTGCCCATGAACAGGAAAATACTGGTGCATTTAATGTGGAAGGCTGTTCTGACAGATTGATGAATATTGCTCTCTTTTTAATTAAAAGGTAAATGTATTTGAGTAGCTAGACTTGCGTTTTGTTGTGGTGGGGTTTTATTATTTCACTAGCCGAAGATACTTTATTGGTTTTCTGTTTCTTGCCCTAGACGTGCAATGGAACTGAGTTTTGCTCTCGTTAATGGGAACAATGTCCGTGGAATGATGAAGGAGTTGCTGTATTTCCTAGATTCCTGTGAACCAGAGTTCAAGGCAGACTGTGCATCTGGAATATTTCTTGCAGCTGAAAAGTATGGGGCCTTTACTTGCTATTAATTTTTTGTACGTCCTTGGAATTACAAGCATTTTGTATGGTGTTCCGCCCCCTTCTTACCCCTTGAGAGAGTATGTTGATCATCACTTCTCTATTTGCTGATCTGTGTGGTTTGTCAGTTTTAATCCACTCTGAGGAACAGGACACACTAGTGCTTTAGGACACACTAATGTTGATTTCTACTGCACTTTGGAACAGGTATTGTACTGACATCCACACACATTCTCTCTGATTAGTTGTACAAGCGAGATGATCTCGTTCCTGTTGAGCCATTGTAATCAGCAGCCTGATTTTGAAGGACTTTGAAGTATTGTATATGCAAGGTATGGCTGTGCTGTATTATGCAGACGTGTATATTCATTCAGCTTTCCAATGGCAGCATTCATCCAAAGAAGTCAAAGAATGTGGTGTTGTGTTTTGTTTTGTGGAGGGTTTTTGTGTGTGTGTGTTTTGTTGGTGTCCCCCCTCCGGAAACAGTGGGCCAGGAAGTAACTGAATGGGGAGGTTCTGACAGTGATGGATTTCTTGCTGGTGTTGAAGACTAGCAGTTACTACTTTAACATGTTTTCTTAATTTTGTCAGATATGCTCCTTCCAAACGCTGGCACATAGACACAATTATGAGAGTCTTAACAACGGTAAGTGAAATTGCCTCTCCTGTGTGTGACTACATAAAAGTGTTTTAATTCTGTGGGAAGTTACTAGTCATCAAGTTGGAGATGGCTATAAAGGCTGGCAGGTAACAAATGCTACAACACACAGAGGAAGTGTACTTATGTGGTAGTGACCCAAGGCATCCAGTCAGAAATATGTAAACTCAGTGATTATGACTGAGTGTTTTTTTAGAAGAAATGCATGATTTCAGAAACACAGAAGAATACAGTGTGTAACAGTTTTTCTCCCGCAGTAATCACAGTAGCTTGTAAGTTAGGACAGCTCTTGTGCTGTCTGTGATTTCAATACGCAGTGCTTTCAGGGAAGAGTGAACACAGCCTTAAGTGACTAGCAAAGAGAAAGGAGATGAAACAATTTCTTGGAATTCTTCCAAGTTGAGTTTATCAAAGCTTTTTTAATGAAACTGTATAAACAGCTTCCTGCTTCATCATCTTTGCATTTAATTATTACTCTTTACCTACATGAACTTCTTTATAAACATCACAGCTGAGGAGGAACTAGAGTGTGTTTTGGTAAACAAAAGGGAAGAGATCTTGATAACTTGGGTAGGTAGTCTGTTCCCTGAGGAGTGGGAAGAGATTTGTTTTATCAGTTTGAGTGTCCAAATGTGAGAAGTTCGTCAAGAAGCAAGTCTGGCTTGTGTGCTATTTTGCCGCCCTGAAACAGAGAAAAGTAGATTCCTCTGAACTGACAATTGATTGCCATTAGAAGGCTGGCTATGAGAATTGCTCTCAGATTACTTCAGTAAAGTAACTTCCTTCTCTTGGCTGCTAGAGAAACCATTTATAAAGCTGTGTTCATGACACTGCCTACTGCAGACTCTTACAGATAAACATCCTTCTCAGTTTAGCTGCCTTACAAAAACTAACACAAAAAGATGACATCAGCATCAGCTAGGTAAATTCTCAGTTGACCTAATTAGACTGACTCAGTTTCCTTCTTTTTATATGCTCCGCTCTCAGTGCCAGAGGAGTGCCTAAACAGAACAGGTTTTGAACAGTATGCATCTTCCCTTCAGTGCCAAAGCTGTGTGATTGTGTATTGTCTCACATACTTTCCTGGCCTTAAAGTGGACTTTTCCCTCTAAGCTCCGTGTTCCTGCTCTTGAACCTAAGAGTTATGTGCAGGCAAGTTCCTGTCCTTATTTGACATCGAGTCTGGCTTTGAGCAAGCAATTGAGTAAGCTGCGTTCCACCTCCAGGGTAGTTTAACAGAGAAGTTTTCTGTGTTACTTTTTGTTCCTTCTGTAGCACAGACTTCTTATGTCTACGCTCTGTTCTCCTGACAATTTCAGGAGATCTGTAGTATGCATTTCTCTGGGTATAGATGAGTTCATTGGGAAAATGTACTGTCCTGTACTTCTACCCATCTAAGCCTGCTCAAAATCAACCATAAAGTATTTGGGGATGAAGAGGTTGATTTTTTTTGTTTCCATGCACATCAGGTGGCTTTGTGAAGGATATCAGCAGATTCTGGGTGTTACTGAGAAGTCGGGTAGTGAATTCTAACAACTTTTCTTTGTCTCTTGAATACACAATTGTTCTTGCAGGCAGGAAGTTATGTTCGTGACGATGCGGTTCCCAATCTGATTCAGCTAATAACTAATAGCGTGGAGATGCATGCCTACACTGTGCAGAGACTCTACAAAGCCATCCTTGGTGATTATTCCCAGGTAATACCAAACGCAGTCAGCTTCAGTTTCCTTGTACTGCAATGAGCATGTTTACAAAGCTTCTCAAGGCAAATCAACATCATACTGTCTAGCTTCAAGGGACAGATTGCAGAGGAGGCATGTCCTCTTTAAGTTCATGTTCTTTTTATTTTCTGTAATTCTCTTATGGAATTCTTGATCAAATCAAATATTCTTGTTTCTTCTGCTGTGGAGAACTTCCTTGGCTGGAAGGAGGGCTAAGCTTGCTCTGGGAAATGGTGATGGTTTAATTTGTCACACAGGTGTCCCATTTATCTCTGAAGTATCTGGTTTTTCTTTTTCTAACAGCAGCCCCTGGTGCAAGTGGCCTCTTGGTGCATAGGAGAGTATGGAGATCTTCTGGTGTCTGGTCAGTGTGAAGAGGAGGAGCCAATACAGGTATAGCTTGGGAAAGAACAACAACTGTATACCTGGCTGAGGCTGGAGCTGCTTGATGCTGGCTATGTGAGAAGAATGCTTGCAACAGATGCTTAGCACTGGTGTCCACGATGGTGATGGACCCTGGACAGGAATCTCTTTCAGATACTACAGACATGGGCTATGTAAATACTCACTGAGAGGAGTGCAGCTGCCAATTGGCAGTGTCATATGGTTTCAGTGCTAACCTAGCTCACAGGATATCTGCTAGGGTCTTTACTGTGTATTTAGTGATGAACCTGCTCTTCGATGTGTGGAACAGGAACTGTATTTCAAAAATGATATCATAAGATCTCCACCTAGTTGTGTCTGTCTTGTACGCTCTAAATGTATGCTACAGACTCACAAAGTTGCAGAGGAGGTACGACGCAGCCATTAAGCAAGAGACAGGTTTTAATAGAGTGCCCTGGAAGGCTTGTTGCAAAGCTGCTCTCTGTCTCAGCTTAAACTTTCTGTACCTTTGCAGGTAACAGAGGATGAAGTTCTTGATATTTTAGAAAGCGTCCTGATATCTAATATGTCTGCATCTGTTACACGAGGCTATGCTCTCACTGCCATCATGAAGCTTTCCACAAGGTTCACCTGCACTGTCAAGTGAGTTTTCATTGATGTTGTACTGCACAGGGCTTTGTTGCAAATGTGCTGATATCGATTGTCTTCAGGAGAAGTGTTCCTTGGATATGTTCTGCTTCCATGGTTTATAAGAGTCATCTTGTTATTTGTTGGCTTTTACAGTCCTCCTTTGCTTGCAGGGTGGAAGACTTCCACTGATTTGTACTGTTTTCTCTGTGGACGTCCTCTGCTGTGTAGGGACTTAGTCCATGTTACTGTTGCTTGAATACCCCTTTATGGGGAAGATAAGTCCTTACTTTCAGTGGACTGTTCTTTCTAGTTCTTTTTTCAGATGATGGAGAGAAAAATAGCCTTGTTTCTACTGATGGCTTCTCAGTGTGGGTTGTTGAGGTTCCTTATGATAGACCTTGTGGTGGTATATTAGTTACCTGCTGATGCTGTTGTGAAGAGACAGTTCAGAAATGGACGTTGTATAGATACTCAGGAAAACAGCAGTGACTGCTCTTTTAAATGAGTTACACGGGACACCTGTTGAGCAGAGGCCAGATAGTGTCTTCTGGATGACACATGCTAATCCCTTGGTCATTGCTGCTAATTCCATGGTGTGGTGTTTTGTTTTTTTTGTCTCTCCCCTGCCCTCACACAGTCGCATTAAGAAGGTAGTTTCCATTTATGGCAGCAGCATTGATGTGGAGCTACAGCAGAGGGCAGTGGAATATAATGCACTTTTCAAGAAATATGATCACATGAGGTAAGTGGATGAGTTTTGGTGTTTGAAAAGGATTGTTATAATCTACTCTGATCACCTGTGTTAGCACAGTTTGTGCTCTGAGAGCTTTGGTGATTTTGGTAGAATTACAGAGGAACTAGAATCCCTCCCTCATCCATCAGGTTAGCAAGTCTTGTAAGAATTTAACATATCCTGGGAGATTGTTCTGTGATCAGAGACTTTCTCTGCCAAAAGATTTGCCCTGCTTTGAGCTTGAACTTGACTAATTTTTACTTCAAGGTGTTGAATATTAAATTTGCTAGTTGAGTAACTATCTGCAGGTAGCTTTTGCCATGCTAGCATTACCACAGGCTTTCAGTTCAAACTGATTTTAAAAAGTCTTAGGAATAAACATGCAGAGATCCATTGACCTGTCCTCCTAAGCTGTGCTCTGAGCTGGAGGTAATTCTTCCAACTGGTAATGGTTTTCAGTTTTTCAGAACATCTTTTTAATTTAGTGCATTTTCTTGTAGTATCTTTTTAAAATCTCAAGTTCTGCATGCAAAGGCATACTATTTTGCTGCACCACTCAGCATCCCTGCTTTACAATTTGTGAGCGTTTTAATCTCCTTGCACCTTATTATCAAGAGGTTGCCATTCATCATTGCTTTGCTCAAGTGGTTGTTTCTTTGAGAAAGGCAAAACTCTGCTTTGTTGCAATAACTAAAGCTGTAATTCTTTTCAGAATAGTCATCTGAAAAGTACAGTAATTAATTGTTGATACGTAGAAGCACCACAGATTCTGTTCAGTGAGGATCATAAAATTGGAGGAGATCTTCTGGAGGTTAACTTCATCCACCCTTGAAAACTTTCCATAAGATTCCATTGGATGGAGGAGCATCCATTTTAGAGTCTAGATGAGAGGACAGAGAGAAAATGGGAGCACTGGACTAAATATTGCCAGTGATGGTAAGGGCCTCCAAACCTTGTTTCAAAGGCTCTTGACAATCACTTTTTTCCATAGGTACCATCCTATTCACTGTGTATAGGACACAATATCCTTGTGACTTCCTCTTTTCTTTCCTCTTGTGGGATCCATGAAGGAGCTAAAATTGTTTTTGGAAAAGTCATGTTAATGAGCTAGGGCATGTGAGCTGCCTAGGACTTTACATGAAGCTTTATGAATGAGTTGAGACAAACCTAGCATGAGAAGCTTTTGATCTTTTTGAATTGACTATTGCAGGCAACAGTGTCTGGCGATCAGCTGGCATTTGATCAGATGGCAGTGTATGCTATTCGTAGTTTTGGGAAGCATTGCAGTTCAGAAAAACATGTGAACTTCATTCAGTTTTACAGGAGAGCATCTGTGTTTTTTCCCCTGGTATATTCTGGTGTTCATTACGGTGTAAAGGTCAATGTTTAATAGTTTCTGCTCGTTAAGACTTTTTTTCATGGTCAAGAACGCAGTCCATTGTTGAGCATATTGGCGCTGGAACACTTTTTCAGCCCAAAAGATGTGTAGACAGTGTGGATTACCCCTATTACATGTGGTGCTTTGTGGCCTGATCTGCCAGGTAATGGCCTTTCTCATGTTACAGGCTAGTTCTCCCTGTACAGGTTTTCCCTGGTTTTTGGTTTGATGTCAGGATTCTGGATCCTGTGCCTCTTCTTCAGTCTCTCTGTCATTTCAGGAGGGTACTCTCAAGGCCTGAACTTAATCTCTTCAGAAACTTAATTTGACTAAATGAGAGCATGGTGATCTGCCTTTCCAACTTTGTCACCTCTTGTAAGTTGTTAACCCTCTGCAAAGTGAAGTCAAACGAGCTGACTCTCTGACTCAACTGCATATGGAACAGAGCAGTCAAGTGTCCCATGTCTGCAGTTAATCCACCATTGCTCAATTATTTAATAGAATCATAGAATGGTTTGGGTTGGAAGGGACCTTAAAGATCATCTAGTTCCAACCCCCCTGCCATGGGCAGAGAAATCCTCCACTACACCAGGTTGCCCAAAGCCTCATCTAACCTGGCCTTGAACACTTCCAGGGATGGGGCATCCACAACTTCTTTGGGCAACCTGTTCCAGTGCCTCACCACCCTCAATGTAAAAAATTTCTGCCTTATATCTAATCAAAATCTCCTCTCTTTCAGTTTAAATCCATTGCCCCTTGTCCTATCACTACATACCCTTGTAAAAAGTCCCTCTCCAGCTCTCCTGTAGGCTCCCTTTAAGTACTGGAAAGCTGCTATAAGATCACGCCAGAGCCTTCTCTTCTCCAGGCTGAGCAGCCCCAACTCTCTCAGCCTGTCTTCATAGCAGAGGTGCTCCAGCCCTCAGATCATCTTCCTGGCCTCCTCTGGACTCGCTCCAGTAGCTCCGTGTCCTTCTTATGTTGGGGACTCCAGAGCTGAACACAGTATTCTAGGTGGCGTCTCACGAGAGCTGAGTAGAGGGGCAGAATCACTTCCCTCGACCTGCTGGCCATGCTTCTTTTGATACAGCCCAGGATATGGTTGGCTTTCTGGGCTGCCAGCACACAGTGCCGGCTCATGTTGAGCTTCTCATCCACCAGCACTCCCAAGTCCTTCTCCTCAGGGCTGCTCTCCATCCATTCTCCGCCCAGCCTGTACTTGTGCTTGGGATTGCCCCAACCCACGTGCAGGACCTTGCACTTGGCCTTGTTGAACTTCATGGGGTTCTCACATGAGAATCTTTGTCTTGCATTTGTTATCCTAGCCCCACAGGGGCAACTGTCAAGTACTAGGGGAAAACAGGAGGCAGGAGGGCTTGTTTGGCTTTCAGCTATCAACTACTGTATTTACACTGGCACAGAATGTCAGAGATTGCTTCTGACCACCTCAAGCTGTCATGCAGTCTTAACTGTTCCCGTGCTAAAATGAAAAGGCAGGTTGTTCTGTGTATATCATCTCCTGAATGTCTGAGTATTTGGATTGGGATCCAGGAAGATGGCACAGTGTAACTATGTCAGCTTCTTTCAGGCCAGCCCTGCTTGAGAGAATGCCAGTAATGGAGAAAGTCACCACAAATGGCCCTACAGAGATTGTACAGACCAACGGAGAGGCAGAGCCAGCGGTCCTGGAAACCAAACCTCCACCCTCTGGATTGCAGCCTGCTAGCCAGGTAATGGAAACTGATCTAGGATAAGTTTCCACTGCCTTGTCAGACCACGCTACTAGCCACTGCCAAGAGTAAGCTGAGACAATCTCCCTCCCCCTCTCTGCCTTTTTTCCTAGTTCTAGCCTGGTGATGATTGCAATCTCTCTACCCTGATGGCTCTAGCGCCAAGAATGGGTGTGTGGAAGAGGTCATTGTAGGGAGTGCAAGAGCAGGGGTGGAGTAAAGCCATATATTCCCCCAACTTTTCTCAGTGTGCATGAACTTCATCCTTCTCTATCTCTGTGGTCCCAAGAGCACGGAAACTAGATCTCTCGTGAGGCATGGGACCACAGCCAAGCTAAGAACCTCTCTGGCCAGCAGCTCTGTTGGTCTTCAATCTGAGATCAAGTAGAATCCATTGCATTTGCAAGGGAAAGTAGCAGGAAGTTGAATATGTAACTATTACATCCACTCTCTCATTAGGCAAATGATTTGTTGGACTTGCTGGGGGAAAGTGATATAACACCTGTAATCTCCACTGCACCTACAAGCAAGCCAGCCTCTGCTGGTGGGGAGCTCCTTGACCTCCTGGGAGACCTCAACCTAACAGGTGAGCTGGCCGCATCTCTTAAAAGTCTACATTCTTGGTCCTGGGGTGGCATGAGGGCTGGCTAGTTCTTCACTTTCTGTCAAGTCCTAGTCTTCACCCTTACTCTCACCAAGATCCATGTTGGTGTACAGGTGGGAGTCAAGGAATGAAGTCAGAGGTTGACTCTGCATGATTAGCTGGTGAGACTTGAGTGTTTTCACACTCCAGCCTGGGAATGCTGTGAGTCTTTCCAGTAAATGATTAGGAGATGTAAGAAATTAATTCCATTTGAATGCCTCCTAGCTTATGAGGAGCCAGTCCTTGTTACTGAAAGCAGAGAAGGGGAGGATGGTAATACAGATGATTTGTAGAGCTTCATGTAAAGAAATACGATATGCAGGAGTTGATCTTTGGAGAAGGAGTAATAACTCTTCATTTCATGACAGCTAAGTAATAATCTTTCAACATTTCTTGTAGGTTCTCCAGTATCTGCCCCTGTGCCCCAGATAGCACAGCCTCCGTTCCTGCTTGATGGACTTTCGTCACAGCCTCTCTTCAATGATATTGCTGCAGGTTAGGGACATGTAAATCCTTAGCCTAAGGTGCCACAGCAGCCAGCTAGAAGAGGAAACAAGGGTAGTAAAAAAAGGGGGGACTTGGGAGTGAAGTGTGTCACAGACTCTGGAGCAGCAGGAGGGGGGGTGCGTAATCTTCAGAATAGTTCATGTCTCGGGTAAAGTAAATGCGTTCTATGGTGTTGAGACTGGTCTCCAGATTCTATAGGTGTGCTGCTTTTTTGTTTTCTACAGGAATCCCCTCAATTACTGCATACAACAAGAATGGGCTGAAGATTGACTTCACCTTTGAGAGGTCAAACACTAACCCTAGCGTCACCGTAATCACAATACAGGCCTCCAACAGCACAGAGCTGGATATGACAGATTTTGTTTTCCAAGCTGCAGTACCAAAGGTAGAGCCACTTAAGGCAACTACAGTAACAGGTGGAGGGTCAGCTGCAAATAACTTCCTGATCAGTGCTTTCATGTAGACAGAAACTTGCAGCATGGTAAACAAGGTTAAGAGCTGTTAATGGGTTCTCTTAGTGCTCGGTTTGCTCATCTCTTTCTAATCTGAAAGTAAATGTTACAAATGCAATAGAACACCGATTCCTATCAGATTAGGACTACTTCTGCTTGGAAAAATCCTGTTTAAAATCACCACTCTCTAGGAAAGTTGCTAAACCACATACAGAAAAACATTGGGTAAAAAAAAAAGTGAAGGCAGTCATCTTTCCCTTTATTCTTAGTTTCTAACCTATATGCTCTTTGCAGCTATGAATACATGAAAAAAATCTTTTGAAGCTATCAGTTGCTTATAAAAGTTTAATTGAGTCCCCATGTGGTGATTAGTGACAGTCGTCCTTTAAGCAGTGAATTGTCTCCCCTTGCAGTTGTCTGCAGCAAAAAATGTAAGGCAGATACTGCCTAGTTTAGAATAGAGCAAACCATTTAAGCAGGGTGTAATGGGGATGTTCTTCAAGTTTGGGAAAATACATTCACTTCTGGGAGTTACATTTCCAGGAATTAGTAATGATCTAACTTTAATTCGGATAGGTTTCATACCTGCTGTAGGAAGAAATTAGGGAAAGAATGGGCCTGCTGAAGTTACAGGTGCTGAGCAGTCTTGACTGCTCCTCTGTGTGTGACACGTGAAACAATGCATCACTGCTGATCTTGATACATGATAGTAAGCCTTCACCCCCTAGTATTTGTGCTGCCTGGAACTTAATCGTGTAGAAAGCAGATGGGCCAGTGAATATTTTGTTCTTTACAGATAGGGAATTGAAGAACTGATTATTTGACTTTATTGTGGCTGTGCATATAGCGTCAGGGCCAGGAGCTGAACTTTTAATTTCCCTCGCCTTCTCTCAGTGCCAACAAATCACTCATGTTCTTACTTGATTAAGCATCAAATTGTTTTCTCTTTGCCCTTTCTTCAGACATTCCAGCTGCAGCTCCTGTCTCCCAGCAGCAGTGTCATCCCTGCATTTAACTCGGGGAACATCACACAGGTCATAAAAGTCCTGAATCCACAAAAGGTGAGTGATTCCAAGAACAGTTATTAAAGATACTGTCTTTGAATCGTGCATTGAGTGGTGATCGGTTAGGGATGCACCTCTGAGAGATAGGGAGCGACGGTAGTGAACTACGTGTTTTTAACGACAGTCATTTTGGTTAGGGTTAGGAAAAAGGAAAAGACAGGAAGTTCTGGGCCCAGGTTGGCCTTCAATTTATTTACACTGCTAAAACAGATTCATGGGTTTGCTGTCGTCTTGAATTCATGAATGTCTTTTGCATCAGAATGGTGGTTAAACAAGTTTTTAGATGGCCTTTCTAGAGGAGCTCAGCCTGGTGTTTGTGTGTTGTAGAAGTGATGTCTGAAAGGCAAGCATCTTGCCATGTAAATAGGTTTCACGTTCATTCTTGCTACCTGTAGTGGTGTTAACTGAAATGTTTGTTACACAAAAAATAGCTTGGTCAATAATCTTAACGAAATCGTCCGCTTTAAGTGATATCATTTGATTTTAATGTGATGAGTATAGTTTTAAGCAGTTGATGGAAAGAATCTTTAGGTGTGATTTAATCATAATTCCATTTGTTTTTCAGCCTTCAGAGATAGGCTTCAAGACTGGGATACAACAGACTTGAGGGGAGGGAGGGGTATGGCCCACATGTCCTCCTTAAGAGGCTTTGCAAGTATTCAGAAGGAAAAACTAAAATGGTGATCACACATTTCTCCCTATGTGGGTCACCCTTAAGATCTTAAACATATTTAAGAACTTAAAACATCTTAAGTTTTTCATAGGTTAACACTGATGTACTGCTCTAGATGTTAAGTGTTGCTGCTAGACTGGTGTGCAAATCAGAAAAATTCTCAAATCTCAACCCAAGATTCCCCTGAAAAGGCTGTCTTCTAGTGCATAGTTTTTGTGATTTGCATGCATCTCTACTTATCTGTGTAGTGTGCTTTCCTCTGCCTGTATTAGGGCACAAGACTAATTTTTCTCTTTTGTCTTGTATATGCCCGATGTTAATTTCTCTGTGGTGCTGCGGAGCACCTTTCAAAGATCACCTTGAAAGTTACTTTCCAAGGTGAAATACCCCTAAATAGTGGGATGCCTTCTTGTTGGAAAACCAGAACTTCTATGAACACCTCATAATAGAGGTGCAATAGTATTTTACTACTGTCTTCTCTTGCCTGATATTTTCCAACTCTTCCACCTCAGGCATTGGTGCCTCTCGTACTGTCCTTTAGATTGCTACTGCCTGAAAGTACAGCTTTGCAAGAACCCTGTCCATGAGGTAGTGTAGTTACCTGGAGTACTGTGAGGGAGGCAACCTTGGAACAGCCTTGCTATTGAGGAGGTAGTTGTTTGTCTTGTCAGTGTTGTGAAAAACCAGTCTGTTTACCTGGACATGGACTGTCATTATGCTGGACTGAAACTGATGGCCAGTTTCCCAAAACAGCACCACTTATAACAAAAACTGACACTGATTATGTTCATCTGTTAGTGATAAAGCATAGTTTCTTTGTCCTGAGGCTAGTTGGAGCAGTCATTATCCTCCCTTCCTCTCTGCTGTCCCTTTCACATGTTTCCCTGTAGGTATGGGGAAAAGATCCAAAAATAGCCAACTTCTTCCTTTTCCTTTTAGGGTTTTTGGCAAACAGGGTTTTTTGAGAGTGAGAAGAATAGGGAACCTGGCTGAAGCATGCTGTGCTCTAGCTGTTATTAAGGGCCATCCAGTATGTGGATGACAGCCAAATGACAGTGTAAAACAACTTCTGAGCTATTCCATTCCTTTCTCACAGCAGGAGGAAATGTTCTTAGAGACTCTGTTTCTAGTTTTTCCTAGGCTATTTCCTTCACAGTGCTACTGAGCTGTGCAATACTGGAAGTTTAAAGACTGCTGCTTTGAGTGAACAGCTGGTATAGGAAATGACACCTCTCCCTCTGAACCTAAATGCAGGAGTAGCAGAGTCCAGATCTGCCTCCTGCTTTCTTCCATTGTTAACTGGGATTTTAAGGCAGTTATTTTTGTATTTAAGGACTTCAGTGCTTGTGAGAGCAGGGCCAGTGCAGAGAGAGATGTGGGTAGAAGCTGTGCTATAGCTTTTCTGAGAGCTTGTACCTGATCTGAGAACTACAGTGACCAATCAACATCCTACCAGATTAAGCATTTATCTTCAGTGTTATAGCTTACCCTGCACATCCTTCCAGCAAGCTCTTATGGTGAGGAAAAGTCCATGTTTTGTATTTGTGGGTGAAGGGAGGGCAGCTGGATGTGGGGGGATTCGCTGACCTTTAATGAAGACCTGAATTTGTTTTGTTTTTCTTATTTCCCCTTTTTCTCTTGTAGCAACAACTACGTATGCGGATCAAGTTGACATATAATCACAAGGGCTCAGCAATGCAGGATCTAGCAGAAGTCAACAACTTTCCCCCTCAGTCTTGGCAGTGAGCCTCTGGCACCATTCTTATTCTCACCCCACCCAATCAAAAGAACTCTGGGAAGAAGGTTGTGATCCTTGGCAATCCCCCTAAACTGCACCATGGGCATGGGGAACAGATGAGACCTGCTGATGAGGAGGAATTTCCTGAAGTGATTGCTGACTTTGAAGCATATCTGTTAAGACTAATCTCTTCTCCTCTGCTGATGAGGCTGGCGGCTTGTGGAGGCTACTGTGCACTCCCTCACACATGCATTCACAGCCAGAAGCAACATTCCCTTCTCCTCTCCCCTGCCCCAACCCCTTGCAAAGAAACACAGCCTGGTTGGAAGAAAAGTCTGGAATTTCTAGCAGGGAAACTTTCTTCTCTCTGCAGCAAGTGAACAGCTGCCCCTTCTTTCTGCTGTCTTTTTCCCCTGGGGTGGGCAAGGTGTGTTGTCATTCATTACTAGCTGGATTCCTTCAGGTACTTTCATATGGGGCTCAGACTGGGGACTTGGGAAATGTCAGGCTGCCCTGCCTCTTTCTCCTTGTATCCCCTATGTCTGAAGGGGCTGGAGGCTTCTTATGGCCTATTCAGTGCATTATTGTGTACACTCACCTCTTAGTTGTGTGATACATACCAAGAGCAAGTTAGGCCTTGGGAGTTCATCTGCAAACCTGGGACAGTGCAGGAATAAGAGGTGCTGGTGAGAGTTGATAAAATTGCTTTGGTGCTGTACTTGGAAATTAAGACCTTACACTTGAATTTTCTTTCTTTCCATCAATAGCTACAGCCATGCAGATTCACAGACAGTCTTCTGTACCTTCCCCGGAAAGTGTGGTGATGTAGAGATCCAAGGAGCAGCTAGTTTTCTACCACAGATGATTTCAAAGCCTTTTAACCCATTAGTTGTGCTTTATGGGTAGAAAAGACATACTCAGTTTTGTAGATCAGTCTTTGAGGGCTCTGTTCCTGCTGGGAGACTCATCAGAGGCTATGCTGCAAAGTTGCTCTTCCCAGTTATTCCAGACCTTCTCTGCAGTTTAATTTCCAGAGCCTGTTGTAGACCCCTTGGATTCCATTTGAGTTACTTCTGACCTGGGATATTTGTGTTGTATCTGTAATATTGGCATTGAAATAAAGACCATACGGTTTAAAGAGACCTTTTCCATTTTGTTACTTAATTGATCCTTGTAGTTTGCTCCTTGCTCCTCTTTCAGAGAAATGTGCCAGTTCAGATCAGACTGAAAGTAACTAAACTGTCTTTTGAATGGAAGCCAGTCGTTTTGAGTGTTTGGATCTAAAGATGTGAGGTCCAGTACTCTTCTAAGCTCACAGAAAGCTGTGTTCAGTTATGCTTCCCAGTGTGAACCATTGTCGAGGTAGTAGAGTTCTGTGAATTCTTATGGAGGCAATGTGTAGGACACAAAGTACAGTGTAACAAAACTGTTTGGATGTTCAGCCCTCTTCAGGGAAGAGGAGGAGGGGAGGATGTATCTTACATCTTCATCCATGAGAGTGCTGGTAAGCTGAAGGTACTCCAGCTTCCAACCCAGTGCTTTCTCAAAAGAAACGGCACATCTGCTCTGTTTCTGTTACGGGACTTTCCAGATAATGATTGTTCAGTGCTCTGATGGCAAGCTTAGATGCCGCTTTTTGCCTCTGCTGAAGTGCTAACACTGGGCTGCAGTCCTTGCCAAAAACACTGCAAGAATAGTGCACAGTGTACTTGGGGAAAATTGAAGACCTATTCTGTCCTTGAATCAGGAGCCAGAGGCCACTAAAGGTTGTTCAGTCTGCTTTGGTTTTAACTGCAGTAAGTAATACAACATAGGACTGCCTGTCACTGGCTTAAGTGCTGGTCTGTATAGTGGAATAAGTTTAGCTTCTCTTGGAGGGCGTTTTTGCTGCCCTATTGATTAAACAGCTTTGGGCCTTTGGATTAGCAGAGAGCTTTATTCTACTGCAACTGGCATCAGCATGGGGTTACAAAATCTAGAAGAATGACGTATGGTTTCCTTAAAAGTAGTTCTGGGCTGTGGCAGGGTCGTGCCTTGGTTATCAGTGGTGTGATAGATACTGTGCTTCAGCTAGAAGCATCATGGAGCAGGCAGTCTTGCAGAAAACAGCTGAATCAAAGTCCATTTCTAGGTGCTGAGCATTTACCCTTGTTGCTTTCACTGCGGTTGTGACTATTCACCACCTGAGTAGCTCAAACTCCTTAGTGTTGAAGGCTGAGTATGTTAAATCTAGACTCCAGTGAGCTCTGAGGGTGTCCCAGATATGAAGCTAATGGAGAGTCTTTGCCTTAGCTCCTGAACTCCCTGTAAGCTCAGCCATTCTCACAGAATTGTACGTGGTCACTTGTACTGGAAGCTGGCACACCTCGATCTCTGTTCACTTTTGCTGAGAAAGAGCACTGGTGCAGGAGATTAGAGGGGGAGAAAGAAGTGAATGGTCTCTGTGCCAGTTTTTTGCAGCATAGTTGGGAACAGCTTGTCTTGTCCCTCTTGTTGCAGTTGTTTTCTGTCCCCTAGAGCAGCTGGGTTTTTGTTGTTGGTCTCTGTCTGGTAAGCTTCTAGAGTAAATTCCTACTATGTTCTTGGCTCCTTCAGCCACCCTTGCACCAGGTGTTTGTGTTTTGGGAAACAGGTGCTTTGTAATATATATTTCAGAGTCAAGCTGAAGGACATGGTGCATGTACCTGAAATGCATTTTGCTTGAAGCCATCCCTTGGCTATGAAGTACTCCTTTGTAGCAGCTGA